TGGACCTGTCTATATATGAGCACATCTGGAGTGAAGGGCGCTTATTATTGACTGAAAACCTTTTTGATTTCTTGTCATTCGTTATTGGGTCTCATCAGATCTAATAAACACATGTTCTCTTTCCCTCTCTCCACAGTCAAGCCCAATCCTCCAGAAGAAGTGGTAGTGAATGTCACAGAGGACAAAGACTGGCCTTATCTTCAAGTGACATGGAACCCTCCCAAAATGGCTGACACCCGTTCGGGTTGGATCACTCTCTTCTACGAGGTCCGACTCAAGTTGGAAAATGAGAATAAATGGGAGGTGAGTAAACCACTGCCATTGAGATGGAATGGCCTGGTGGTTTGAGCATTTGTCTTTAAAATGTGAAACTTTGCATTTAGTTCCATGTCAGAAAGCTGATGTGTCACAAAGCCAGGGTTGGATGTTTAAACCCCAACACCACACCTAAAATCTACATAGACGGCCACAATTTACTGACCTCGCCTGACTCATATGTACATGTGTTTCATTTCCAGGAGCTCTCTGCAGGCCAGAGGAAGATTTTTAAGATTTACAGCCTGAGGTCAGGTGGTACTTATGATGTTCAGGTTCGCTGTAAGCCTGATCATGGCTTTTGGAGTGAATGGAGCCCCTCAACCCGTGTCAAAGTTCCTGAATGTAAGTCCTTCACCCACAAACTGTAACTGTACAACTGTCTAAATACAGTTGACACTGTACAACCATATTTGAAAAATTAGCTTTTTAAAATGCATAATTTGCATTTTAGAAAAAAAAAGCCAATCACTTTGTTGGTTAAAATTACAGCTGCAACAGCATATACATATTCATGTTACTTCCACTTCACAGTTACAAAACTTTGTGTTGGCCCATCCCAGTAAGTTAAAGCAAAACACACTGAGTTTGTGATTGTACTATTGCAGAGAGTGGAAAGGCAATATATTCATGCAAGTCCCAGAAGCTTGACTGAAGCAATCAAGACATTATTTTAGGTTTCACAGCATCTAACTGTCATCATGAACGTGGACAATTTTTTATGGAGAACCAAAAACTTAAACTTGGAGGAATGCATGTTTCACTATTCTGTGGTCAGAGTGGATTGAACCTTTCCACCTGGTGTTTGTGTGGATTCAGTAACTAGTAATATAGAGAGCTGTGGGAGGATTTGTTATTTACGCCATTTTCCCATTTTGCATCCCATAAGCTTAGTTACCCTATCCTTGCAAGCAAGTGATTTTCCAATAAGGAAAACTGAATTACTATGTGCTTAATTCACATTTTTCCACTGTGTTCCAGGAAAACAATTTGCCTTGTGGCATAAAAGTGACTTGGGAGAGAAGAGAAGAAAATGCTACATTAATACAATCATTTACATGTTCTAAGTCTGTCGTTACTGTCCTGTTTCATTCAGATTTACCACAGGAGAGGTCAGTGTGGACCCTTATTGCAGTCTTTGCTGCCTTCATCCTCTTCATCTTTATTTGGATGATATACATGAACTATCATAGGTAAGAATGAACATTTTTAGTAAATTGTATGTACTAGACATTAAACACACACACACACATATATATATATATATATATATATATATATATATATATATATATAATATATATATATATATATATATATATATATATATATATATATATATATATATATATATATATATATATATATATAATGTTAATTTTTATTACCTTTCTAACTTTTTGCACATGCAGTGTGAAGCACTACCTTCTGCCACCAGTGCCAGGACCTAAGATCAAGGGGATTGACAAACAACTTCTCAAGGTAAACCAGAGCTTTTCGACTGAAGATGTGCTGACTGCTACATAATACATGTTAAAGTAGATATTTGAATCATGACGTCTTTGTAACCAGATACTTTTTACGTGCAGAGTGGCAAATCTGAGGACATCTTCAGCTCACTGGTGGTGTCTGATTTCCCCCCAACCACATCCAACTATGAGGATTTTCTCGTGCAATATTTAGAGGTGTATATCCCAGAGGAGCGTGAACTAATCATGGATGAAGGCAAAGATCTTCAAGACGATAGCTTCAAAACTGAAAACTCCACATGTGACAATGATTCTGGCAGGGGCAGCTGCGACAGCCACACACTGCTTACCGATAAGGGCGGAGGTGACAAAGAAGATGGGCAGCAGTCAGATCAGGAGGGTAGTCAGGCTGAGGTTGATACAAAAAGTCACGAGGAAGCCCTGGAGGAGGAACTCCTGGCATGTTCTCATGAAAATGAGCAGATCCCAAATATTTCCAATGAGAAGGAGAAGGTGAAGAGCTGGCCTTCTTTGTTTTCTCCACTGCCTCAGTACAGTCTTAGCCCAGTGAATCGACCAAACAAACCTAAGATGGGGAAACAACACTGTCTTTCAGACAGCCTGTTCACCCCAAACTCCTTGTCATCTTACTTCACTCAGCCAAATTACTGGGAGTGTAGCTATGACCACAAGCAATCTCATCTACTGCATCCCCAGACGGCAGACCATGAGCACCTCCAGGCCCAGAAAGACCTCAATACGGCACATGTCGACTACATGGGAGCGCCATTGGATGTTCATGCACTCAATGTCAGGCCCACCGAGTATGTCGAAGTCCACAGGGTCAGTGACGAGGACGTGGTTCTTCTTCACCCTGTTACCCCAATCCAGGAAAACAGCCATACCGTAAGCCACCAAACAGAGGACTACAGCAGGGTGAGGATGGTGAACAATAATAATGGGTTACTACTTCTTCAGAGAGATGCTATTGAGGAAGAGAAGAATATGCGCCCTTATGAAGAAGAAATGATAAGCAGAGCAACACCGACTGGCTGCATGGCATCCATCACTCCCACTTTGCAGAACTCTGCGACTGGCGTTAACACCGCTTTGCCAATTCTTGACGAAAGGGCAGCCAGTGGTTACGTCGACACCGCCACCATGTTTGGCCTTCCCACTTACTAGGTGCTTTGGATATTAATCTGGCAGCTGGTGAACATTGTGAGTGGAACACGTTAAGCCTAAGAACTGAAACAAGGACAAAAACCACACTGACAATGATTGCATCTTTCCAAAATTGGTTGCAAAGACAATTTTGCTTTCATGGAAATATTTTTTTTTTCCTTTTGCTGTCAAGATGGAACACTGGTATTTAACAGCCACAATTTTTCAGATGATTAAATAGCATAATTGTCATTCAGATTAAGAATAAAAATGTATCTTAGTTTATGAGGTACTACATGTTCTATGTTTCTATGCTGATTATACTGCAAGCTGGTATCTTACCTCTAAAATATATTGTAAAGCACTTGATGTACATTGTACATATTACAAATATAACAAAATATTTATAAAAAGAACCCCTGAACACTTTGCCTAGGGCATTTAAGTTTCTCCTTGTTGTACAGCTCCAGTTACCCCTTCTGAGGGAGGGGTTTGTGCAAATTAATGCAAAGTATATTTATGCTATTTTCTGTGTTGCTGTTAAATATGCTGTGAAATATTTGCATATAAAAATGATGTAAATCACATTATGCGCTCTTCACTGTCACCGGCTCTGTCACACAGATAACGGTGTGAAATATTTGGCTGAAAAGTATAAAAGTTTGTATTTGAGCATCCAAAAAAACGCTAAAAGAGGGGATGTCTTTTAGAGTATGAGGCTTCTTCTTTAAATGGACATTAATATATGAAGACTTATTTTAAGATCTTTTATTTTGGTTTATATATGTGTTTTGATATCTGTGTGTGTGTGTGTGCGCTCTTGTGTGTGTGTGCTTGAATATTAAACATGAGGTTAAAAAAAATAACAACCAAGAATTTACTGAGGTATTTTGTCACGCAGAGGAGATTATGTACATTTACTGAGTCAAAGAAATCTATAATGATGTGTAGTTTTTGATGGGAAATTTGTGTCATAAAAGTTGAATCTCTTTGTACAACAGTGCACTGACCTTGTGGGTATAGCTACACTTGTGAACATATTTCCAATACATAAGAAACAGCCATCAAGTTACTTTGGAAAGCATGTTTTAAAAATTGAGTTTATAATAAAATTACGCTGTAACAGTATGTGGTTTGTTCCCTTTTTACCTTTATACAAACATGAAGATATATTACAGTTTTTTTTTATTACTGTCAAATTATATAATTATAGAGAGAAAAGTGGTTGCCTCGCATTTTTATGTAATTATATATTTTTCAGCTTTAGATGCAATTTATTTTTTTCAACCACTCATTTTTTCATGTGGTATTAATGAACTAAAGAGATGAACAATTTTAATTAATAAAAATAACCAACACTTGCACAACTCTTAATATGGTTTGTGCATGCATCTGTTCTATCTTGATTATGTGACTCTTTCGTAAAAAGTCAGCAAACTTCCTGATGAATTCTGGCTGAACAGTTGGAGTCTAACTCTTGTTTCACCTGCTGTTGGTGCGTTTGAGTCAGATGTAATCCCCTTTTTGAAAAAACATTTTGACCTTGAAAACGGTTCCTTATTATTTACTCTGTCTAAAATGCAAGTCCTATTCTTAGTGGGTGAGATTAATGAGAGAAAATGCATTGCACAGCCAGCTGTTTAATGAAGCAACAGATGTCTGTTATTCTCTATAGGCTTTGTGTCATTTTGCGGGTCAAGCGAATGTACAATAAATAGTATAGTGTCCATACTTTACCCTGAACTAATATATAGAGTAGTGGATTTTTGACAGAAAAAAACTGGATGTGTAGAAGTGTTCATTTTAAGTTTTCTATAGTTGATATTTTCGTCATTACTTTTTGAATGTTAAGTCTTTACATGAGTCCATTTGTTGGGTTTGTAAAAGTCCTACTGATCAAGTGGGAATGGGGGCCAACAGGTGATTGGTTGGATTTTGTGCTGCGCTCCTGCACGCGAACAGAAAAGGACCATTAGGGAAGCGGAACCGGGTCTACGCCTCCCGCGAGGAGGGATAGAGAAAACAAACAAAAGGACTTAAGTACCGTGTTCTGAGCAAAGATAAACAGAGTGAATCCTCTGGTGCCTGTTGAACATGTTTAAAGTTGCGTCCTGTGCGGGTGGCCGGCGGGCGCTTTTGACGGGACGTCCCGGCTGTCGGCGCCAATGTTCGGCTGAAATCCACCTGGCGAGCGGTGAGTTAACCTGGAAACTTCTCGGATCCGGGTCAGACTGGTTTGTAACTGTTGCTGCACTGCAGGCAGCTGTTCACAGGATACGCTATGCTTGTTTTTGTTACACTAAGGTAATCCAGAGGGCTCGTTTATCCTTTTTATTTGGACCACCGTAACTCGACTGTCATCATAAGCAGATAAAAAGTACATCATACATCCAACGAGTACATCCTATAGGCTATCTAAAATATTTAATTCATATATTGAGTTGTTGAACATGGTGACATTTAACCCAATGTTGATCCACTGGAAGATTCTGTTGACCTCAAACAAGCATTTGTCTGGTTCTGCACAATTCTGGCATTCTGGCACTGGATAAACAAAAATGAAACATTTTTCATTTTTGAACCAATTGAAAAATTTGAACCAATGAAAAACATTTCAAAATGTTTTTCATTTTAAAAACATTTTAAAAGCCACATGCTCTTTGACTTCCTCCTTACTCTGTATTGGCTTATGACTAGGGCTGGGCAATAAATCAAAAACTTGTAATATCCATGTGATTATTTGCACTTGTAGATAATGCGTCCGATGCAATGTTCAACAATTTCAGTGAACTCGATCAAGAACTGCACAGCATTTTGGGAGATGTAGATGCAGGGGATAGGTTTTAATCCTCTCCCTCTCAGGTGCAGCTAGACAAAGTCCCAACATCTCACTGACTCACTCTTCGATAAGCAAACAACAAGCTATTGAGTAATTTATGCAGCAGCAGTTTAAGCCTGCACCATCATGCCTCACATCTAATTTAAAAAAAAGAAAAAGAAAATGCAAGGAATGAAGGGAGAAAATCTGTACAACACCTTGAGAGAAAACTGTGGTTAAAACAGGAAGGACCACATCAGTTTGCCAGTATTTCAAACAAAAAACAAATTAATAATCATCCATATTTATTGACATGAAACCTTTTGGCAGCAATATCCCTCACAATGTAAAACCACAATAGAAAACATTGTAGTTTGTGCTTGTAACTTGACAGAATATATTAAGTTCATTAACTTTTATTTTACAGATGCATCATGTCAGAAATCAGACTTGAGATCCTCTCGCACAGATATACCAGAGATGCCTTCTTGCAATTTCACTCCAGAGGAATATAAGGTACGAGCCAAAATCTGTAGACACACAGTAGATCAGTAGTTAACTGTCTAAATGACAAAATCGTTACATTGGAAAAACAAAAAAAAAGTTTAATTTACACCTCCAGTCTCAAGTGCTACTGATATGCACACACTGTCTTGTACTTTGAAAATTCAAGAACAGATCACATAAAATGAAACACAACATTTTTTTTAAGTTATATTTTACACCTTGTGCCTCTCCAGGGAATGTCAAAAGCAAGAATGATAGAGATCCGCAAACAGACCTGCAACCCCATGACCATGAAAGTCACATACTACAAGAAACCAGTGTTCATCCATCAGGGCCACATGCAGTATCTGTGGGATGTGGACGGGACCAGATACCTGGATCTATTTGCCGGTGTGGCCACTGTCAGTGTGGGCCACTGCCACCCGTGAGGTCCTTTTGTGTGTTTATGTGAAGCAGGAACTATGTTTCTCTTTGTTCACTTTTGTAGTGTATTGGTAGCAAATAGTTGATGTTTGTGTGTGCAGGAAAGTAACTGTTGCTGCTGAAAAACAGCTGAAAAAACTTTGGCATACCACTTTCATTTACGTCTACCCTGGTCTCCAAGAATACTGTGAGAAACTTGCCTCCTATCTGCCTGATCCTCTTAAGGTAGGGTGGTATATTTTTAGACTAGTCATGGGTTTGTATATTTATGCTGTAGTTAAAATGTATGCTGGTCTGTTTTCCTTGGGCAGGTGGTTTTTCTGACAAACAGCGGCTCTGAAGCAAACGACCTCGCAATGTTTATGGCTCGTCTCTACACTGGAAATTTTGACATAATCACTTTCAGGTCCAACATTTTCTTTTTTTATACATTTTGTTAGAATAGAAATATCCAATGGTAAGAAAAAAATATATATTACCAATGAATTATTAAATTTGCACCAAATTGGAAGAGAGCAAGGAGACATATTTCTCATTTTATTCCTTGTCTGTCAGGATTGCTAAATTAACAAGAATATTTCCTTGAGATGAACATGTACAAAGTGCTTATAGTAGTTGTGTGTTTTTCAGAGGATCATATCATGGTGGCAGCCCGATGGCAATGGGTCTGACATCCAATGCAGCCTATAAATACCCTGTTGCCAACGGTTTAGGTTGTACAAACGTATGTATAACAGCAATATTTCTAAAGAAAAGCCGTCATGCATTTTCCCCACTGACCCCCTGTGGCAATTCTTTCAGGATCTGTGATGTCGCATTTATCATACACCTTTATGTTTTAATAAGACTATATTGTTTTATTGTAAACAACATACCCTCTGATATAAGTTGATGAAGTAGCTTTTGCAAGAAATCATATGAAGTTGATATTCTTGTAGAGAGCTTCAGTGTGGGAGCATCAGTGGCTAAATGAAACATGCTGGTTTGGTAGAGGATTTCATTTAGTCTCGTCCATGAAAGAGAAATGATAAGCAGGTACATCTCCATACATTGAAAAGTTTATTTATTTCAGTTATTCAATGGAAAAAGTGAAAAATACATATTTATTTCACACAGTGGGGCACAAATTTCTTTCTTTAAACGCTTTGTTTGGAACACTTTTTACTATCAGCATTCAGAGTATTGACCTAATTAATACTCTTGCAGTTTTCTAGTTTACATTTTTTTCTGACGCTTTGTTATGTAAGAATTTCTGTTTTTGTCACTTTAACCCAGCTGTGATGATTTCTGCCATTTAAACAGACGATGTGTCCGGACGTGTTCAGAGGTCCTTGGGGAGGAAGGCACTGCAGGGACTCACCTGTGCAGACTACCAGAGACTGTAGCTGTGCTCAAGGTACACAGACATGGCCACACAAGACTCAGTTCTCATTAACAGAAAAAAGAAATCATATAATATCATTCAGCCATGTTTTGTTTAAAAAAAAAAAAAAGAAAGAAAGTTGTGATGTTTTGGATCTAGTGTTTGCTTAGCCTTTTAATGTATGTACAACTCCCAGTGGCACCAGACATTATTATTATGCTATATTGTTAGCAGTCCTTACTTATTATCAAACCACTCTAAAATATCTTCATTTTAATAAATGAGACTTGTAAAAGTAAAAATTCTGAACTCCTAAAAATGAGATGTAAGGAGATGAGAATAAGCGCTGAATGAGCAGAGTAAAGGTCAAAGTCTCCTCCTGTTGATCATTGACTCATTTTTAACCATGGTGAAAAGTGTCTCTTTGCAAGGTTCATTCTGACACGAGGCATCAGCTTTGATTTATAGACGCCGTTGTAGAAAATAAGTCAGGGAAAAACTAATTTTAAAAAATATTCTTTTTTTTTTTTTTTAAATCTGTGCTCTGGGACAAAAGTAAAACAAGTTCAGATCAGGTGGGAGAGAGGTTGAATGTGTTTTAGTTGTTTCTATCCTGTTACATGACTGCTCAGCATTTTTCAGAGTTTTCTATGCTTTTATCACACAGGTCACTGCGCAGCAAATGAGCAATACATCAGACAACTTAAAGAGACATTAGCTACAAGCGTCCCTCCTAGAATTGCTGCTTTCTTTGCAGAACCTATTCAGGTGTTGTTTTACGCTTCAAGAAATCATACAGTGATGTTATACAGTGATGTTATTGGAAATATTGCTCATATTAATGTGTTTATTTTTTCCCCACTAGTTTTAATTTTGACTTGAAATCTATTAAATAATTTTGTCACCATCGGTATTTAATGTATGGATAGATAAACATGTATGGTGATTAAGTATATTTATCAAAAATCAAGACATTCCTGATATAATTATTATATCTTTTTCCACTGATATGTTCCATGCTTTTGCTAATATGTCTGGTTCATTTAGGGAGTCGGAGGAGCTGTTCAGTACCCTAAAAACTACCTCAAGGAGGCTTTCAAACTTGTCAGAGAGAGAGGAGGGATCTGCATTGCTGACGAGGTCTGATATCAGCAATATCAAAAAAATATATACAGTATATATATCTATTTCTTTATTTAAAAATCAAAAGCTATTAAGAATATCAGTAAACTTTTGAGGTTTTTCATTGCCACTTCTGTAGAATGGCATTACCAAAAGTTTTATACAGCCCATAAAAATTTTAAAGGGTTCCCCATCATTAAATTTCATTCATGAAACTGAATTAAATTCAGTTATAATTTTGTTATTATCATAAAACATTATAATTATAATGTAATTATATACATATATATAATTAATGAAACTGTAATTATATATGTGCATATTGTGAAAAATAATGTTTCAGATAAAACTTATTTTTACCTTATACTCTGAGTAAATACAAAATTTGGTTTTCAAAGAAGAAGAAAAGAAAAGAGAAAAAAGAAGCATGCAAACCTACTGAAAGGACAGTTTCTTTTGTACCTAAAAAATTGTTTTGCCTTCTATTGTTTTGTAATAACTGGCAATGAATGTTTTATGCCACCAAAGAGAAACTTTGGCTCTCCATGCTTTAAATAATTGTTGCAATTCAATCACACCAGAAAGCTCTGAAGTATGAAAAAAAGTTTAATTTTTTACCTCAGTCTCTCAGTTGGAGTGAACTTTGCGAAGGCCACTTCAAAATAATATATTTGTTTTTTGTGAGCCATTCCAAGCTGCCGTGCTTCAGGTTAATGTCTGACTGCATAAAGCATGTTCTCTTCAGTTTAAGGTCATAAAGTGGAGACTTGCAATTTTCCTCAGACAATGATAACTCATCCAGAAAAACAGAGATATGTTTTACCCACATTGAACTACATGTGACATGAGATTGATGGATTTTCAGTTTTCCGCAGGTTTCTGAACAACTCTGACAAAGAATACAATTAGTGGTTCTATTACTTATTGCAAGTCCTCTAACATAAACAGAGCACTCAGTCTGACTGTCTTACTGTGCTTATATATGACTTGTTTATGGTATAATGTTCTTTGTGCTTTTATGGCTTTTAGATCAGGGGATAATGTGCTGGCTGTACTTATAAGTTCTGGTTTGGTTTGTGAATTAAGCTCAACTTTAGAAAGAAATTAAGTGAATTGCAATTCATTATTGATGGGTGAGTGAATACTTTTTTTCATAAGACCAGATCAGTTTGAATAGATGTTTTCCCTCATAGATAAAATGATCGTTTGCAAATGTTTGTGTTTACTCTGGTTATCTCTGAAGATCAGACGCATAAATATGTGATTCAGCTGGAAAACTGTACCGACTGATAAGTCACATATTAGAAGCTCAGTTTGTTATATGGCGTGCTTTTATTTCAGAATCAGCTGCTGTGTTTGATTATTTGATCAAATCGATTTTGCAGTTCAGTTAGAAAAATCACTAGAACAAAAGCTCGATACTGACTGCTAATAATAAAGAAAATGACTGAGTCTTCCTTCTGCTTGTCTAAGGAATGACATTAAAATGGAAATGGCATGTATCTGCATACTTCTTACTCATTTACAACACTGTTGTGTTCCTGGGAGGAAGAACTGCAAAAACAATCGCCACATTCAAGGTGCTGATGAATCCCCATTTTGTCTCTTACTGCACCGTGGCAGGTTCAAACTGGATTTGGACGAACTGGAAGCCACTTCTGGGGTTTCCAAGGACATGATGTCATCCCTGACATGGTTACAATGGCAAAGGGCATTGGTAATGGATTCCCTATGGGAGCTGTTGTTACAACACCAGGTGAGAATATATATTTATACATTTATCAGCAGCAAGGGGTGATCTTAAATAATCATTGATTATTATTATTATTTTTAACATCGTGAGGATTCACATATTCTGTTTGTTGCCTGAGACAGTAATTCATTCACATCTATTTAGTTTAAACACTCATAGATTTATTTCTATATATTACAGTCAAAATAACTGCAGCGGTTTTGATTCTCTTTTGCAGTTCAATTTGACATATAGAGCAGAAATCATGCCTTATTTCTGGCAGTAAAATACACTTTTCACTTCCAGTTTGTTACTTGCAACTTTAGTAAGTCTATTGTCCATAGATGAAAGATGAATTGTTGTGAATGATGAACAATATGCTGTCACAGAACTTGAGTTATAAAAAGAAGAACATAGAGCCATTAAAGATTTTCGATATCATCCTTATTAATGGAGCATTATTAACAACCTGCTAGACTTATTGACTTCAATAATCTCTCACAACAACAAAAAAATAAATAAAATAATTAAATCAGGCTGGAGAAGTAAGCTACCTGGACCCTCACCTCAGTGGTTCATTGATTTCACTCTCCACCTTTTAATCTATGCAGCCTTGTTTGCTGATTACTTCATGCTTCCAAACAAGCACATCTTATTTCTGGTAGCACATCACGTGTTGCTTCTTATGTTATTTGTTGTGGTAGCCAGTTTCCATAGTCAAACTTCTGCATACCTAGAACCTTCCAGCTGTTCCAAGATGTTTGATTTTTCCAAGAAACAAATGGAACAGGAAAAAAAGCCAACATGAAAAAAAATTAGTTTTTTTAACTACTTTTCGCTTAGTGTACTTAACATCAAGTACCTAAAGTGGCTAAAGGAGTGAGCTTGTTAATTGATGTTTTATTTCCCTCCAGAAATTGCTAATTCTTTTGCCAAGGGAGTGCATTTTAACACCTTTGGTGGAAATCCTGTGGCCTGTGCCGTTGCTTCAGCAGTGCTTGACGTGAGTAATTTCCTGTCAACAAGATTAGGTGTCTTCAAATTCTCTGGCGCACGCAGCTCTCTCTGATTCCCAATCGCTTTTTCTTAAACAGACAATGATAGAGGATGGCACACAGAAGAACAGTCTTGATGTGGGCACCTATCTAATGACAGAGCTGGCAAAACTTCGAGACAAGTATGAAATCATTGGCGACGTCCGTGGAAAAGGGCTTCAGATCGGTGTGGAAATGGTCAAAGACAAGGTATTGAGTCCATGACAGAAGAGACTCTCACCTCTTTTCCCATGTTTGCAAAACATGTGTTCCTGAACGATGCGTCCTGGGGCCAGGGTACAGCTGTGTCCCAGTTAATTGCTGGCTGCAATGTTTGCCGTGTGTATTTGTGAACCAAGCAAACCGCTCTGCGGTGAATGTTCTCTAACAGGAGCTCTTCTTATTAGGAAACATTTTGGTAATCATAGTATGTTGCCATTATCATTTTCAAACCTGTTGCTGCAGACAAGACAGAAAATACTCTGAAAACTTCCAGTGAGTTGACTCTGTGATGGCTGTACTTTGGCGGTATGCTTAAGTTCACGTCTATTAGGATGAAAAATTGTAACTTACTGGCTGATGTCTTGAGATGTTGCTTTATATTTTCCATCACCCTAATCTTAACTATCTCCACAGATTTTCTGTCAGGTTAAAGTCAGGACTCTGACCTCTGAAAACATGCATATTTTTTTTCTGTTAGAGAATCATGTTGGTAAAATTGAAATATAACTTTAATCCTAAATTTCCAGGTGTATGAATAATTTTGGGCTGATCTGTAGATATCTGAGGACTACTTCTCCTATTCAAAATTATCTTCTCTTCCATTTACAGACCAGCAGAGATCCACTGCCTCCTGAAGACTTCGCCGAGATCTTTGAGGATGTTAAAGATATGGGAGTCCTCATAGGCAAAGGAGGAGTTTATGGACAGGTAACATGAATCCTGCTCACATAAAATTAAGTAGATTACATGGAGTACATGCTAAAGGTCAATGGTTAACATCCTTTAATTTCTTGACTTAGTCACACTAATGTCAAAGATTAATTTTATATTAACTTTTCAAACTTACTGTACATTAGAACGATTTTTTATGCTGTTGATATTGTCCAGAAATGCTTGAAATATTAAATTTTATCGAGTTTTAAAATAATAAAATATGTTCCAATGTATTTTAATGCATTTATAATCAATAATTAAAAAAACAAATGTCAAAGGAAAGATTAGTAAAACAAGAAAAGTCTGATAAATCTTTTTAAATCGCCATTTATTGTTTATATGTCATTTGTTTCTTTCTTTCCTCTTATCTTAACGCTCTCCCAAAGATGTAAGATGTAAGATGCATCTTCATGTCATTTATATAACATGAAGAGGCTATTTTTTAAAACAAGTTGTTTGGAGAAACCAAATGGAGGATGGTGAGTAGTTTCAAACAGGTTGTTCGTAATTAATCGGGAACTTGTCAAACTGAAATACAGAGGGGAAAAACTCAGAGCGGACCAGGGACAAGGCAAAAAAGCAGTAAATTCAATCAAAGGACGAAGAAAAAAACTGTGAGGAAGAGCGAATATTGGAAAGCTTCACAGAACAGTTAAATTACAGCTGGCAGCTGTGATGCGGGCGGGGACAGGAGATGCTGAAAGAAGCTAATTAATAAACAGAATGAATACAGAGCCTTGGGAAAATGAGCGCAATAAAAACCAAAAGAGATGAAACACTTTCTTGCCTAAAAAAAAAGTAACCACCTGAAAATAATCATGACCTTCCTGATGGTTAGTTACAGTTTGAACGACTTGTCTTCTAGCTGGCAACAAGTTATTTGAGCCCAGTTGATGCTTCTCATTTCTAAACAACTACGTGGAAATACACGTCCTGTGATCATAGAAAAGATGCGAGTCTGTTTAACAAGGGTCAAAAGAGTTGACATTTAAAATGTGAAAATTTAAATACTGTGACATTGCAGATGCTTATCAAACAAAGCCAAAGGAAATGTGTGCTGTATCAAAACCAAAGGCGATCCAATGTAATATTAGCATATTTTTTGGCCGGGCAGTCTAAATGGGCACCCCTGGTTATTATACAAATGCAAAAACCTCAGTTACCAACATATGTGATCTTTTTGCAGATTAGAAGGCTTTAATTTATCTGGTATATATGTTCCAAAGGTCAGAGGACAAAATGTAAGTGGCTTTAAAATAAACCGCGACTCTATACACAAACCAGGAACAGTTCACAACCCAAAATGAGACTGAGTCCAGAAACCAACAAAAAGGTGCACAGTGTTCCAGGAGAGACAAATCCCCAAACTGAAACCAGAGCTGGGGTCTACAGAAGAAAACTCAAGCAAAACTCAAAACAGAATTTCAATTAATACGCAGAAATTCCAAAGAAAAACAAAGCTCAAATTGATCCAAGAACACAAAACCAAAGTGTCGCGAGATGAAGGACAAACTGTGAAGGAGAAACATTACATTCCACATGACTATGTTTTATTTTCTCAGTTAACACACAGAACCAGAAGAACTGCCTTTGAATCACTACTTCAGTCAGAGCACTGCATTGTTTCCCATTATCTGTTTGTAATTGTCTGTATTCTTGCACAGGTATGAATATTTGTTGAATTTACTTTTGTTTTTGTTGTTGTTCTGTTGAAGATCTTCCGCATCAAACCCCCCATGTGCATCACGAAGGAGGATGCAGATTTCTTCCTGGCGGTTTTTGACAAATCCGTCCACAACTACATGGAGAAAAGATGAAAGCTTGAAAAAAGGTCAGGTGACTCAGAGGGGAGCCCAGAACCACAAAAACATACTAAAAAAGTTAATGATGTTTTATCCTCAATAATGGCTCAATTATCCTCTGGTCCTTCTAAATTTTGTAGCCAGTAAAATGGGAACATTTTAAAAGCTGCTGTGTTGTTGCAAGCTCTTAGTACATTAATTGTTCTGTACTAAAAATGTAAATATATTTTTCACTGTGACTATAATCTATATTCTGCTTTCAATGAAGTCTTTTGTTGAATCTGTCATACTAAATGTCCAGAGAGAAATTGGCTTTGAACCGCATTGGTGTACAATCTTTTTTATCGTCACATTTTTTATTTGTGATCAATTTGATTTCTTTAGATAACACAATGTGCCTTTGCATTGTCAATAAATGATATTTTATTCAATAATCTAAGATGGGTGCAAAACTCTTATTTTGGTTGTATCAAGAATACAATTCAAATATTGCGGCATCACATCCTGTGCAGACAGTTTTTGATGAGATTGTCAAAACGGAATCTGATAAAACCAGATTCCTGTGGAAAACGTGCTTTAGTGTCTGGTTACTTGTACTGGAAATCTTTCGGAGCATTTAAAATAACACCTGAAAGATATGCAGAATGTGCATCAAGCCAATAAGTTACATTGGAGAAGGACAAAATTAACAGTAACCTCATGAACACAGGGAAAAAATGGGAGTAAACTGGATGAAAAATGTGAAAAATTGGCAGTTGTTTGATTCTATGTGTATGTAAACATCATACAGCAATATTCATACATTTACTCATGTGACTGGTGAGACAAGTGATGGTGAGAGTCTGAAGCCTGAAGCGACTGATGAGTGTCAGACAGTTGAAGGAGAACAGCTGAATTTACTGAGGGCAAATTTTGAATTTGATTTAGATTTTGTCATTATGCATTATGTAATGTTTGTCTATTTTGTGAAATCCCTATTAAACGTAATTTTTTGAATACCTCATTATTTGTAACATGACAAAATGTGGACATGCCCTGTGCATTTTACCAATGCTCTAAATACTGTAATCCATCTATCTGGAGGGTAAAGTAGTTAGAAGTTATGTCTTCAAAGTTATAACTTCTATAACTTAGAAGTTATTTTCATGACTTCTAGGGAAGAGAATGAATGTGTTTATGATTTGAACTTACAACTTGACAATTTCAGTGGAGAAGAGAATTTGCAAATTTGTGAAAATATTACTACTTGTCATTAAATGTCTGTATTATGTGACAGATGGTGTGTGCATATTTCTGTTGTTGGACAATGTAAAGTCAATGAAGGTAAACCCTCCATCCATTGATTAAAAGCCAATCAGATCATTTCAAATGCCACCAACCAGAGTGACAAACACACCTTAATATTATACTCCAGCTGCTGCTCTGTAATATCTTCCTGGAAGAACATTTACTTTTCTGTTTTGTTTCTTTGTGGCAGACAAGAGCAAATTCATCTACACTTATAGTATTTTGATGGAATATTATACAGATGCAGTGTTTCAAACACAAAACCTTCCACAGATGTGCTTGTGCAGCTTTACACTAGGCAAAAACATGGCAAAGGAGACAAATTATTGTGTTTAGGTGCATATTAGAAGGCCTCTTTAATGGTTAATGAATCTTTAGAAGAAATACAGATGTTGAATTATTAATGACAGAGCTCCAATTTTGTTTCTCAATAAATTTAACAGCAGGGATTAAGATAGTCTACACTTCACACAACTCAAATGACTTTTATTGATGTTGCACTTTTCAAACTCAAGGAACCCAAAATGCTTGAAGTTCAGAGCAGTGGAGGGATACACCACACAACATTCAGTGCATTAAAATGAATTTTCATAAAATTATGAAAAGTAAGTGATTTAATCACAGATTTACACCAAAATTGTAGCTTGTTTTATTTATTAAACAGACATGTATCCTAACTGAGCAAAAAGTTAGAATACTTTAAAAATTGCATTTTTAAAGTACATTTTCAAAAGATTTTTGTTCTTATTTATTTATTTTTAGTATATTGCTAGAGCTTTTTAGTATTAAAGTTTATCTACCAAAACCAGGTTTATAAACACACCAGGATAACACAAATAGGATGATCTTTCACATGAACTCATGTGTAAAAGACAAACACAAACTTCAGGCAGGAATTAAATCTCCACATGTCCATATGCTCCCTTCTCCTGTGGTTTAACTTGCAAGATTTATATTTTTTTATAGAGCTCTTGTACAGGGTGAAGAAAACTTTTAAAAAGTTGTTTACTTCAAACCTAACATGCACCAAGAGAGTATAAATTACAAATGAAGAATAAACCATGTCAAGGCTTAAACGGTGGATCTTTGAAGATCTGAAGTTACCTGATAGTTTGAGTTAGATATATTGACGATATAAAACAGAATGACTGGATGTGGCTAGAAAAAGGCGAGAGAACAGAATATGACAGTGTCTAATAAAGACTAACACACAAACCACAAGTGTCAGGCTAATGTTCAATGTTCAAAGCCCCGAGAAATACTTTAAATATTAATAAATGTCTGCCTCTGCATTCAATAAGTATGTCTTAAAATCAATTAATATGAAACATCTCTTCACACTGTTGTAATTTCACAGTATACAGATAAAAAACTTCTTGGATTTAGTTGATAAAATAATACTTAAGCACACAGCTGTTTTTTGAAGGTTCTTCTCAGCCAGATTTGGCTCTCATGTCTAGAGTTTGACACACAAAGTAAATGGAAGCATACATATAAATAAGCAAGATGACAAAAACATTTTAAAAAGACACTTGAGAGTAGTGACAGTATAAAAAGAGAAGAAAACAATACAGTTTTGAAAAATAACATTTGCAAGTCCAATTATACTTTTTGCAAAAATGTGGAAAGCTGTTCAGTGAGTAGCAGGGATTTTGCAGAGGCGTTGTTCTATAGCAGTGTTCTGCATGGAGTGGGAGAAAGAAAGTTTAATTATGAAAATTCTGAGTTCTTACTGGACAAGATGCATGTTCTGAACATTTCTCTGCAGAGCTCTTTAAATTGTGAGAATTCATCTAAATCTCACTGGCACAAACCTCTTTTTCACTTTTTTCCATAACTGTTGCCTAGCTTAATAACATCAAGATGATGATTAGTTTCTGCATGAGTAAAAACTTCCCCAATAGATGTTTTCCTTCCTGCCCCTACTTGTGTACAGCAGGGTTAATTTGGTCCTTAGTGAATGCAGTTTCTAGGATCAGTGCAAAATCTAGAGATGAGTGTTGCACAGCATCTGTGTTCAAGTTAAAAGGCATATAAAACATTCTTTCTCAATACAAAAAGGCCTTTTAGCAATATGACATCTCTACTGGTAGCAAAAGAGGCACACTTATTAAATTTACCAAGTTTACGTCACCAAAAGAAATTCTAATTAGCTTTTGATTCAAAGCAAGTATTAAGGAACATCCACTTCAGTATATGCAGGGCCTTTTTTCTCTTTTTTTCCCCCCACACTTAAATATTTAATTGAGTTCATAAAAAGAAAAAAAAAACAACAGTTTTGCCAAAAATCACAGAGAAAATACAGTAGTTTTCAAATGATGAATTTATTCATCCAAACCAACCTATGTGTGTTTTTGACCATTCTAAAGGGGGATATGTTACACCCACACATATTTCTCTGATTTAGAAAACTTGCACTGGTCTCCCATTCTGGACATTATTTATCTGATGCATTGTACTTTCATCCATCTTCTTTATACTGTAACTCACCTTGTGCTCACAAGGAACTAAATTTAATTAACTGTTTGTCTGTTGCCTTCATTTGCTCTGCTTGGGAAAGAAAGGTAGACATTCTTACGTTCATTGCTGAAGGTCTCTAGAGGAAAGCTTTCATTCTGTAGAGCACTTTGAACCATTGAATGATCTGATCTGCCCTGGGACTGTGAATGGATTTTGAACAAATCTTCCAAACAGATTGAAAATACTTAGAAAGAGAGAAAAAATGCGACTTAAAAGGTTATAGAGAAAGACAGCATATTCTAATAAAACATTTCCAATTTAATGAAAATCTCCCAATTCTTTTAGCATCAGGCATGTGCTAAATACCAAGGTTCTATCCTGTTTTTTGTTGTTTTTTTCTGAAAGAATGCTTAGAGAGTGGTTTGTGAACAGGACTTTATTATATATTTTTTTCTGGTTTCTTCCAGGTCTATAAAAATAATGATTCTGAATTAGATCCACTCCGGTGAATCACAGCTGAATCGGTTTTGGAGCATTAAACACATCATGTGTCCTGATGCATTCAAGGCCCGTGGGGAGGAAGCTACTAAGAGCAGATGTGCCAGAGATGTTTATAGACACAACCCCACAACATTTATCTTAACTATAAAATCGCAAAGAAAATTCAATTCAATTCAAAAATACTTTATTATTCCCAAGGGAAACTAAATGATCAGTGCTCTGGTGTGCAAAATCCAACCATTTCTATCCAGATGTGTGTTGGGTTTTAATGGACAGGCATTTCAGCAAAGAGAACACATTTAAATTAGAAGCTCTGAAATGAACTATATCCAGTACGTTTCTAATATACTCTGGCAAGAAATGTGGTCTTACTTACAAATGAATATGACTTGGAGAGGCTCTAATGGTTACATAATGTAACTTTTTTCTACTGACTCAAGAGGAGAGATTGCTGCAAAGTCAACAAGTGAACTCAAATTGCTGGGCTTCCTTATACAACATTTTACCAAATGGCTCTGCAAAGTGAAATATGACCATGATGTATTATTACTGCGATCAAATCGGAATGTGAGACTGATGGATTGAATTATACAGACTGTATATTTTTGGAAATGAATAAATTGAGCTAGCAGGAATATAACTGAGTCTAATGAAGGTTCAATTTAGTTGCCAGTCACCTGATTAGGGATAAGATACATTAACTTTGTAGAAGTCAATTTCATTTCCTTCCCTTGTATGATTATTAGTGCTAATATTTCAGAGATGCTTGTGTTGAGCGCTGACATCATTAAACTGTCCTGTCTTGCATTTTCATTTTTTTCTTTTTTTTGTTCTCATGCTCAGAGCTGCAGCCTGGGTGATTAGGGACGGGACCATGGGAATGTGAATGTGTTTGTTTTTAGAAGGAATGGGAGGAACGGTGCGGTTTCCCAAAGACTACATCAGGGAGTCTTTAAACCCTCTATGAGAAAGAGGAGAGACCCACGCTGCTGACAAGGTTAGATTAAGAGAACAATTAAATGAGCGGTAAACATAATAAACACCATAATGTCTCAATTTAAAAGTTTTGAACGTATGCATAACACAGATTTCTTTTCCTGCATAATGTTTGTTTTTGTGCCACTGGCTTTGGCCTCAGCATTAAATTGAATAGTGATGGTAAAATTGTGCGATCATAGAAGTCGAGACTGGATTTGGCTGAATGGAAAAGTCAATTTGTTACTTTCCAAAGCAGATGATGTTATTCAAAAGATCATTAGCTTCAAATCTGACAAAGGTGTTCATAAAGCACCGTCTGTTTCTGCTTCTTTGCCTCACTTAAATCTTTCAGATGATCAAACAAATTCAAATATCAGACAACAATAACTTTAGTCTGATAAGCTGAAAAAAGAGAACAGAAAGTGGCAGATACTTTTTTAAGTAACTTTCTTTTACATAAGATAGATGCGTACTCTTCAGCGATTTCTTGCTTTTATATATATATATATATATATATATATATATATATAAAGTAATAGATATATATTAGTTGAGGCTGATTTTAAAATGTTTGAAGATCAGTCTCTTATCTCTGATAAGATAAGGGGATAAGATGGGGTTCACGTCTAAGTATCAGCCAATCACAATCCCCCAAACGTAAGGAAATTGTTGGCCAGAAATCAACTGGTTGATAAACCAGTTGGCCAATAAATGTATCCCATGGCCAAAAGAAAAACAATACGAAACAATAAAAAAACTACAATACAACCTCGTAATGTTTGGCTGCTCTAGATAATGCCAGAGATGCAATAAGATTATAGCAGGTGTGTGAGTGACTTAATGATCAGACTGCTGATTGCAGTCAGTCCACATTGTTAGAACTAGTGGGACCCAGGCAAGACTTGGACTGGCCTTGACTGTCCTAGAGATTGTATTCAGATTCATATGACAAAACAATTAAGAGACTAAAAACTGTTCAAATGTTTTGAAAGGATGTCCTCCACTTCTCTCATGATGGCTTTAGTCATTTATTCTTAGCAACCCTTACCAACAAATTACCTTTGGACTTAAGTTTCAATGTGCATGTACATAAGCAGATTTCTGATTTTTCCCTCTAAAAAATGTATTACCGGTACATAATAGAATAAATGACTGATTTCAGTTTTCACAAAAGGAGTTGGAAATATTGTACTGACATTTCATATAAGTAATTATTAGTTAATAGATTTAGATGTTCTGAAGTGATGATGTTTGAATACGTCAATGTTTGAAAAGGTAATTTTTCTTTTTGTTTCACTTTTTCATGTACAAAAAAAAATCTTTGTACTTGTAATCTCACAAAATAAGGAAACCTTGGTCTTTTGTCCAGCCCAAATGACAGCATGTGTGGGAGTAGAGCTATAGGGGGAGAGAGATCCTTGAAAAATCTTTGGCCGTTAATTTGTGTGGCTCAGTATGTCTGAGTGTCAGATTATTATAGTTTTATTGAGAGACGCAAACAAGAGTTTGATTTGTGTTTTGGAAGGGAGAGAAAAGTTACACAACATCAAGGTTATCGATGTGGAATCTGTTATGCGGATCTGTTCATATTCTCACCAACAGTGAAGACATCGCTCTGTAAATTTATAAGGACTAAATTGAAGTCCTTGTAGTGGATGGTAGACATTTATATGACTTGTATAAAGGTTGTAGTAGTAGGAGTATTTTTTTTTAATCAACTTCTCACAGGTCTCGTCCTAGTTTAAAAGATGTTGTCCTCCAGACTGTATCCAGCCTTTCTGCTTCTCAGTCCAAGACTGAGAAACAAATGAAAGTGTGCCATTTATTTTATTAAAGAAATATTGAAAAAAAGTAAAAAAGAAAGTACGTCTGTGGTGTCAGCTCGGTTGGGTGTCTGTTCTTTTTTTTTCAGCAGCCTTCCTCTGCTGCTAAAACAAAGAAAGTGCATCCTCTTTATAACCTGAGGTTAACATTTAACACACTGTATCAAAAGACAGACTTTCTTTTTCTTAGACATTAAATCAGAAAACCATTTTGTATTTTAGATCATTTAAGATTAACTAAAGTTCTTTTTTTCCCCTTCTTCTTCTTCTTCTAAGTTGCACATGAGAAAGACATTTTTTATAATGGGGAGAAATAAGCTGTTCCCTAAATGGCAAAAAACAAAGAAACAAAACGTAGGTCCAGTTGAGAATTTATGGCAATATTTGAGGATTGATATAAATAGACCCTGCTATGGAAGAGATAACAATCAGATCCACATCTGCTCGTCATGTCATATGAAATGTTTGTGAAACTCCCCAAAAGAACAATTTGGGTTACATGTACGAGGTTGGAAGGTTGTTTTCCACAGCTGCGTCGGGTCCAGACCGTTTTGACCCTTGTTTTGTTATTCCTTATCATTGTATAAAAACTTACATGTCGTCTCTGTCTGGCAGAGCTTTGGGAGTTTTGTGCTTCATTACTGATTGTTTTATGAGCTCTCTGCATTGTGCACAATATATGAATAAACCTGATTGAGTGATTTTACCTGGACAGTGTTTGGAAATAGTTTTTTTACACAACAATCCTCTCTGTCCATACTAAATGCATTGAGCTGCTTTGCAAAGGATGAACAAAATGTTTCAGGCTTTAGATGTGTAAAGGTGATAGAAATGACACAAAAGGTCTGCAACTGTAATTGGAGTGAAAGGAGGTTCTGTTGACTCACTCATATAGGAGGTTGAATATAATGATATATCAACCTTTTCAGATTTTGGATGCCATGTAATCCCGTCCTTCCTCTCATTATACAGTATGCATATGGTGTCATTTTGTTGCATAAAATCAAAACAAAATACGTGTTTTTCCCTGTTGCAATGTGATAAAACGTAATAAAAAGCTCATCGTACGAATACTTTAGCAAAGGTCCATGTAAAGGTCTCTAAGATTGGTGAGAAAAAGAATGTACTGACATTTTCATTTTCCTCGTCTTTTTATGAAATGCATGTCAGACATTTGATAAAAGATGGTGCCTGATGAGAATATTCACTGTCACGTCAGTCACTAATTTGATCAGTGAGCAGAGGTTTAAAGACGCAGTTTAATAGTTTTCTGCCGTTTGTTGTTAAATAGACAGAAATACAAATTCCATATCAAATCTAACATTGACTTTTCATGAGGTACATTGTTTTGTTGAATATTCAAATTGTTACTTTGGCCAGATTGCCTCTATTTGTCAATGAGTTTTGGGGATTGCGAGGTTTTAACCAGAATGCCAGCTTCCTTTTTTTTTTTACTATTATTTCATTGTGTCCGACAGTTTTGTGTCTCTCCGTTCAGTGATGCAACACCATAACGTCATTCTTACACCAAGACAACTTTATTAGGAAAGAAATTTTACAGCAAAATTGTATTTTACTGTAAAATAGGAGCTTTAGCAGAACAAACGATACAATGAATAAATGATTCCAATTATTCAAGTTAATCAAATCAGACAAAAATTCCTGTCACGTTTCAAAAATGTGCACATCATTTGCACCTTTTTTTTTCTAAGACAGAAAGGAGGATATGGGATTAAAAAAGTAACATATGAAGGATTTTAAGGAATGCTGCCTTTTCAGGATAAAGACGCTGTGTGCAGTACAGTCAGCAACTGTGGCCTCAATTAAGGTTTACTCATCCTTCTGAAAGAGCTCTGCTTCATTTTCTTATATTAAAAACACGTGGACGACTTCTGAAATGTAAAGGAAAGAAAATAAAGAATAATCTGCTAGGGTTAGAGGTGCTGTCATGCACCTGGATTTGACTGTCCTTGTTGCAAATGAAACACAGGGATGTCAGCAGTACTTCTTTCACACTAAACCCGAGACTGTGTGCGCTTTAGTCCTTGCCGTCTCCATTGTGCTGTGAAGCACATTTACTAAAAGGAGTGATTTTCTGTGACTCACATGTTCTCACAAAGACTCTGCAAAGTCACATGCCCACTCAAAAAGCTACAGGGATTAAATGGAAAGAGCTGCTATATAAAGCTGTGTGCAAAAAAAACTTAAAAGTGCAAAACAGAAACCCTGTCAGTAAGACTGAAGGAGGTTATTTGCAGATTGGTATGAAAAGCCGCTCATTCTAACATTGCTAAGAAGAGCCTAACAAAAGAGACATGTACATCTACAAGGACTCTGAAAAATTGTGGTGCACTTCACTATCCTGCATGTTTTATGGTAAATACTGACATCCGGATCCTTAGTGATGTTTGTCGTTTTCCCAGTGGTTTCAGAGAACAGGGCCATTAAACCTAAGCATTTAGATGTTTCTCTTTTACAGCTTTGTTTTTAAATGTTTGGTCAGGCAGGTGTGTAAGCAATTCCCTCTGTGAGCATGATCAGGGAAGTTTCCATAGTGAAAGTGGACTGAGAATATCACATTGTCTGATTATTATTCAACTGTCTGATGCCGATCTTCTTGTTGTGCACAGCTGATTTTCATATGAAGGTTACTTTCATAAAAACATGACTTAACCCACACACTGTAAATGCCCTGCAGCAATATGGAGGTGGCAAAAACTAATTGTTTAGTCAAAATGTGCATAATACCCTTAAGTTGTTTTTTGTAAAACATGTCACAACATATTATTGCAATTTTCTTCATTCAAAGCCAAAGAATAAGGTAGAAGAATGAGTCAAACTAATTAAACTTTAGAGGATTGGGCATTCTCTTGTGGGATTTTCTGATACAGAGCAAAACAATACATCAAATTACAGCAGAGCTGGCCAGAACCTGAAGCAGCATAGCATAATACAATCATAACAATCTACTGTCAATATGAGATTCTGCTTCACCAGATGTAATGAAACAAGGACCTTTGAAAAAGTTTCACGTTTATCGCAATACGTCACAGAAAATTTCCCCAAAGTTCTTGGGGAGCATCAATGTGTTTTTTGGTAAATGTAACAAGGTGCTAAATTATGAACTCATTATTTAGCAGTTGTGGGTTGTGGTCAATTATATTTTCACATAGTGCCAGCTTTGTGTGTATAGGTCTTGTATACTATTAAAGGAGCAGTATTATGTATCTTTAGGTACACGGTGCACATGTACCTATTTTACTACACAATCCAGTAAGTATATTACTTTCAGTTGTTATAAAATGCGATGATGTATGTCAAGTATCATTTACAAGAAATGTAACTTTGGAACTTTACACCTTGAATTTGTGTCTGTCTCTTTAAAAACTCCACCTCTTCCTGAAAATCCACCTTCATCACAACAGTGCTCCTCTATCAAGCATTTAGTAAAATTTTTATGAGCGTTGCACTGAGAAGTAGCTCACATTAGCTCATGTGCAGTCCCACCTAGTGTTTGCTAATTGCTGCCAGCTAGTCTGAAGGAGCTGATTGGGGGAGTCGCGGAGGAGAGCGGCTCTGTGAGGCGGAAGCTCAGAAGATTGGAAACTGCAGCTCCACAGAGGAACTGCGTCTTGAAGGCAGCATTCGGTCCACTCAGACATTTTGCACAGCTCAATGGTTGCCACGGAATATTGAAGGATTTCTCAAACATGCATGAAAAAAAATCTAAGCAACACGCTAGGGAATAACATTATGACAATATGTCGAACTCAAAAAAGTAGATTTTACTTGATACTGCTCCTTTTAATAAAATTATCATTTGGAAACTAAATTTTGTACTTAGCCATTTTATCTTTATCTGATGTTAAAATTTGTGTGATGATCTGAAAAATGTAAACAAAGAAATGCAAAAACAGCAACAAATCTTTAAAGAAGCAAGTAACTTTCTTGACACTGCATTCCCGTCCCTCTTCGTATTGCAGTAGCGTCTGCACGCTCAAATTTAGTCTGGGAATGTGATCAGAAATCTGAAATAAGGAGGATCAGGTCGCTGCTAATTTTATCTTACAAGTCCTTTTATTACAGGAAGCAGAAGACTTGAAGTCGTCAGGGTCAAGTTTCGGTTTGTATTATGTGGAGTCAGCCTCAGGCTGACTCATACAAATCAAAGAATTTGGCTCGCATAAATGAAACCGTAACCACCGTTTTCTCACCAAGAAAATGTCCAAATCATAACATGCAACAATAACTGCTTTGGAAATTATGGACCACAAATTTGTATGCTGTATACAAGAAAAAAGACAGAGCAGGATGTGCCGTCTTAAAACGCTGGCGTCTTCCTGGATCTGCTGTAAGTTGTTGTAAATGTTCGACCAGATCATTGTGTTGTGTGTTTGAGGGGAGGAAGGGAACTGCTGCACTAAGAAGAAGGATATTTTAAGCTGAATTAGCTCATTATGAAGACAGACTCTGCAGTGTCGCTGTGTCTTGAAGGTGAAAAGAGCAGAGGACGCTCGCCAAAATCCAGACGATTCTGTCCAATCAGAGCCAGTTGTTGAACCTGGTTTTCTCCCACCAGTAAAGTTCAGGGAGCACCAGATTCCGTTCTCTCGCTCTCTGTCTAACGATAGAGACTTTGTATGAGCTTGAATATTATTACTGTTCAATACCGCTTGCTCGATTGTCTGAAAATAAAAAACTTTCGGTTTTTCTAATTCAATTCGGCTTGTTTTAATCAACCAACCTTTTCTCAATTCAGTCCGCACACACATGCACTGACAATGGATCTGCAACCTTGTCGGACAAAGTATGCTTTAAAAATTTTATTTTAAAACTACATCTTGTTTCACTCCGACCTATTGGAACTTGTAGTCAGAAGGTTCGGGTCTGTATTTGACTCACACAAACTGCAAAAACATCTCCACATGAGTTTGTTCTGGATCAAAGTCTTATCAGCCGCAGTGAGAATGTGTTATCTGTTTTTCCGCTTTTCTTTCCTGCTCTTGCTGATGGAGCCGTGAGTAGCGTTTGTAGAAATAGCAATAGCATGGCCGCTGGTCTTCAGATGGTCAAACAGCTTGTTTCTTGTGGGGAACTCGTCGTTGCAGGTGACGCAGCGGAGATTGACTTCCTTCTGGAATTGAAAACGGGAAAATCACATTTGAATTGTGGCAACATTTTCAGCCACATAGGAACTCCAATTTAGTCTTTCCAGAAGGAAAGATTAAAAAAAAAATGAAGTTGTCATAAAAAGCTAAACCGTATGTGAATTGTGTCTTTTTGTACGTACCTCAAGAAACTGTTCAGCGTGTGGTTTGGTGTTCTTTGCCTTGTCTTTCCCACCTCCCTTTTTTCCTTTCGTCTTTTCAGAGCTGCTGAGAGAACATTTGCGTGACAGATAAAGATCTAATTGTAAACTGCAGGCATGTGCTAGATAATAAGTCGAAGGAAACTACCCAAAATATTATGATAAGCAAATACTTTTCTGGGCCTCATTCAGCATCTGATATGCTTTGATAAAATAATGTGTGAATATTACGCCTGTGCAATTTTTTAAAATCTAAAATTAAAAAAAATTTAACTGAGCAATGTAACCGACATTACTCATGTCTTTTTTCACAGCCTCAGGAAACTCTTAACGGAATAAATTTCAACAAATGCCATTGACAAATTGGAGTTACTCTTCTTTGTTTTTTTTTATCTTGTACTGCACTGAAATTTTCATTATAATTCACTAACTGTAGTAGACAAAGTGAGACACTCAAGAAAACAGAATCTGTTGTGGGGAGAGAAAAAAAGAATCACCTGCATTTTGTCAAAGTAAGAAGTTTTAGACAAATCTAAATCTAAAATGATTGGAAATCTAAATCTAAATGTACATTTTCAGTTATTTTCCATTCAACAGTTAACTTTGTCTCTAATATAGTAGGAGACGGGTGAGATGGGTGTCCTTAAATAATTAATCAAATGTTTTTTTTAAATTGTACAAAAGAAAAGCCAACTAAAACTGCGTCTTAGAAGATCTCCTTCTAAGACTTAGTTTCAGACTCTTCTGACTTCAGAATAAAGTCAGAGGATTCTGGCCGGGCTGCTGCAAGATGTTAATATTGATCTGCTCAGATTAATAAAACCTAAATCTGTTCAGGCTCCTTAAGTTTTAGGGTTTTGCCTCTCTGGATCATGGACATACTTTTTGATATTGAATGATAATTAAAGTCAATACAGAATAGTTGTGTGCAAATTATTTAAGACACATTGTTACAACAGCTCATAGGAACATGTTCAGCATCAATATTTTTGAGGTTTTGTAGCCAGAAAAAGCCAAAATTTTGAATTTTTGCTGAAATTTCAGACTTATGCTGTTTAGAATGCCTTTTCCATATTTTTATATTGATCTAAAATTATTGTTTTGCAGTATGATCTCAAAGTTGTTGAAGGAAACTTTAGTTTAAAGTTGTTTTTTTTACATGAAACTACATGTAAAAGAGTGTCAAAATTATTGCATAAGTTTAATTCATTTTTATTGCTGTTATTCGGTTTTTATTCATTTATTCTTCTTGTTGGCTTAAAAACAGGAAATCTGAGAAGCTGATTTACTTCTCTCAAATCTTTAACAAATGACAGGAAATTCTCATTATCTTTGTTTTCTGTGGGGATTACAGTTCTTCTGTCGCACATCCGACCTGCTGAGCAGCACAGAGCAAAACAGATGACAACACAAACTGAATAACCTCCTAATGGAATACAATGCTGCTTGATGTAAGCCACACAGAAAGAGGAATCTAGCCCAAAATTGCTCTTACTTTACCTTAATAATAGGTAGTGGCTCATCAGTAAGATAGCTATACTAGAAATTTCAAGTAACAGCAGTCAGAAAAGATGAACTGACCTTTTGACTTCTGCAGAGGGAAGGTCCTCCAGCTTTTCAGATTGTACAGGATTTTCTGAGCTGTCAGGGACTTCTTCCTCACAGGTGGGCTGTGTGGGTATCGTCTCCTCCTCCTCTTTACTCTCAACGGTAGTTTTCTGTGCACAAAGAGAGCATCAGTGCCAAGCAGTAAACCTCATGAGCAACTTTTCTTCTTAACCTTGCCACCTCCACACTTTCACTCATAAAGTGTCCCACCTGTACTACTTTCTGCTGTTTTTTTTTCCTCTTTTGCTTTTTTGATAGCCTGAGGATGTGGAGAGAAGGACTTCAGTGAAATAAATATTTACTGTGAATCACCAGGCACAAACAACCACGACCACTTTGTTGATTTTAATTTTTTGTTGGCTTGTTGATGAATAGATTTACTTTTGCCTCGGCTGTTCCTCTTCTTCCTCCTCCTCATCCTGCAGGTCATTTTCTTTCTCTCCATCCTCCTTTCCATTCAAGCAGAGTGAATCGTCTTCTTCCTCCAACTGTTGCCGTAGCAACACCACCATCTCTCGGTGCTTTTTGGACTTTTCATGGTTTTTCATGCTGCAGAGCAGAACAAAAAAATTTGCAAAATCAATATTTGGAAATAAATCTTACAATTTAGTAAATGTGTTTACTGACGTCTGTATTTCATTTATTTTTAATGGTACCAGTAAGTCCAGAAGCAGATATAATGCTGCAATTCAACAACACACAACATGAACTGCTTCACACAAACAAGAAGCACAAAAATAGAGAGCTGTTTATTTACAACTCCTTCCACAAGTCCACACATAACATATTCTGTTTCATGTTTTACAGTATCATGTGACAGATAATTAAGTAGATCAAGATTGCTAAATGGAAGTTTTTTGAGGCTATATAATAGTATTTCATAAATCTCCAAATTACTGCGTATTTATTGTAATGTTGATCCAAGTGATGACCAAACATCACTGAAATTAAAACCTGGACAGTGGAGGGTGGTACATTCGCGTGGAAACTCACGCTTTATCCGATTTGAAAGACTTGTCACAAGCAGGGCAGTAGAGATCATCATAACAGTCGATGGTTGGGTCATCGTCGTTCGGCTGCTCGGCGTCTGTTAGGCGCAAAACACCACACATGAACCCTTTATTGCATCTTGACCTGTTTACACATGGCTTTCAGATAAAAGATTCCATTCAAGCAGAAATGCATTTTAAATGCATTATTAAATGCATTTTAAATGATTGAATGCATTGTAAGTGGTCTTTATAAGAACGTATCAAGACATATTTTACTGAAGCATGGGGTTTATTAGCAACACAGCATTTCCTCCAGATTAAATTCCTCCCGCTGATACAGATATATTGTCAAAATATCCACTGGGATATTAGCCATTAGGATTCATTCAAGCATTCTCACTTTTCTTTGCAGAAGAAGCAGCCATAAATCGGCTGTTTTCATCATTTTTAGTTTTTATTTGAACCATAAAGTATGTTATTATGTTCGCCAGGTAAACAGTAATACAGCAAAGTTTCAACAATTTGAAAATTGTGTTTAGGCGTGAACATAAAGTCCTTTTATAGCTGTCAGCATAATGTAATCATAGTCGGGGGGGGTTCTGTTAGGTCTGTTAATTTATTAGTAGCTGCGCTTTCATCCAACCCGCTTCTGTTTTTTTTTTTTATGTAAACTCACCACTTTGTACACAACCATTTGTGATGTGCAACAAAGTGCTAACATCACTCATATAATTTATTTTGTACATCGTTTTCATCTACATTTAATTGTATTTCTGTTGATCATAGATCTAATTCCTGTTTCTGATCAGTCAGTTGATCTGTGAAATACATTAATCTACTGAAATGCCATTAATAATCAAAGAAATGCTCAGAGTCTGATATGTAATGGTTGTATTTGTGTCTAGAAAATGAAGACACTCTCCACTGCTCTCATATATTAACCATGTTTTATAATATGCTATACTGTTCTCAACTCTACAGCTTACATATTTGAAAGGCAAAAGACAAGCCTCTGGTTTCTTTACCTCCATCTCTTGCACTGTTTTTCTGAAATGTGTCCACATCCACCTCCTCTTCCTCACTCTCGGATGTGTCTCCAAACTCCTCTCCGTACTGAGCTTCAATCTGCTGCAGCTCCTTCTCCAGCTCAGACATTGCGGCCCAGCTCTGCTCCTTGTACTCCTCTGCCATCCTAGGATGGAAACACAGAAAACAGTGAAGCAGAGACAGAACTAGAACAGCAGTTGCATTCTTCCCAACACTTTAATCTCAGCCTACTTGGCTTGTCTGAGCTTCTGCTGTCGCCTCAGCTCTGCCGTCTTCTTGATCTTCTCAGCGTTCTGCTCCTCCACCAGCTTCCGGTGGGCCTGGACACGCCGGTCCCTCTTACGGATGAAGGCCACCAGTTGCCGCACGAGCTCATTGCGCTCCTTTCGAGCCTTTTCCCTAGTCTTCTTGTTCTCCTTCTCCATGGCCCTTTTTTCCCAGCGGTTGGACGCCTGCCTCGTGTCGTATTCCTCCTTCCAAGCAAAGTTTTTGCGAGTACAGAAGCTCTGCCAGTAGGCGTAAAACACATGAACTACCTGTAATGTGGAAAAGGAGGCTGGTTAGAAACACAAATTGATTTCCATTGTTTCAAATTTGAATGTCAGGCTAAATCGATCCAAACTACTTCTCTGTATTTTCATAACACATTTCATGTCTTTCTCTGGTCAAAAACATGAACGTTTTTACGTCTGTATAAAATAGCTAGTAGAAACATACCCAGGAAGCCATGAGGCCATGGGTCTGAATATTAAAAACAATGACTTAACAAGCATTTGTTAATAATAATAATTAAAAAAAGCTTCTTTGCATGATCATTTTTCTCTGAAATGTACAATAATTCAACGTCAACGCTAAATGAGTAATTTAAAAACACTGGAATGGCCAAATGAAACTTTGTGGTTAGATTTGATCGAGCTTTAACAGGCCAGTGATGCTTTAAAAGCCTCCAAAAGTGGGTCGACATTTCTCCACAACACTATCACAATCTAGGGGGTAATTACTTTTTTGCCTCACTGTGAGAGTCTCATTCTTTTCAAGACATTTTAATAAAACCACTGCAATGACAATAAAAGTCATTAGTCTAGACATAATAGTCATGACGTTTATATGCTTCCAGGTCTTATTACATCACAGTGAATCTGCACAGTAAAAGGCCGGACAATGCGAGTTTTAAAAGCTGTCAAATTGTGGTAAACGCTGAATTACGCAGCCTAAATCTGTCGTGAGCCCATAAGGGCTGAACCTCCAGGAGAACCTGGGGGATAGACGTATCAGTATGGAGCTTACTGTATCATAATCGCTCTGAGAATCTCCAAAGGGAGGAAACCCTTCTTCCTCTTCCTCGTCGTCCATCCTGCTGTGCTCCATCTCCTCCTTAACAATGGACTCAAAAAGATTCCTGTAAACCGTGTAAAAGCCCTGGGGAGAGAAAGAAACGCCAAAGGAACACTGAATTAGAAAATCAGGGTTCTGAGAGGTACCAGGAATTTCCTTTCCCACAGTTTAATGGCAATGCCAGCCTAAACATGGGATGATACTGATTAAGCTGGGCGGGCACACAGGGGGAAGAACATATGTTGCTTCTGTCACGAAAACCTCTGGGGCAGATGCAAACCCACTTTTCCAGTTGATAAAATAGCATCATTGTCACAGCAGGTCAGCGTTGTAAGAAGTGGAGTATTAAGAAGCCAATATTACACAAAAAGTCACAAAGTTTATCAATGGTCTATCTTTGCCCTTTATTAGGTGGCATTTAAAAAAAATCTCAAAAATAAAACATTAATGTATCCAACATAATGTAGTCAGACATGCAACACTGAACCTTTATTTTGAAATCGCCCCAGGGTTGTTAACTGCCTGCATTTCCACTGCAGGAGCTCAGTATGGAAATGACAGAGTCTTTCCTCCTACCGTTTGAAGAGCATGTGAGGAGAAAGAACTTTTTTTATATATAACAAGTTATGATTTTTAGTAAGAAATCAATATTTGTTTTTGTGTCCCATAGCAACTTCAGTTTAGTCATTTACTCTGAACTTGATGCAAAGGCAAAAGTACCAATTTTTAAAGGTACTTTCAAAGATGCAAATTTTCACCCTAGAAAAGACATAAGGAGACGCCGTGCCTGGAATAACAACCTGAGCTTCTAGAGCAGTAACTTTGTATAACAGTGCTCACAGTTTGAAACAAAATAAAATTCTCCTTGAGCTAGGAAACAATGTGAAAATACCATTTCACCACTATAGCCATAATGTGGGGTAAATTTCTATGTATCAATTTTTATTATGGTAGATGTAATGGAAACAGATATAGAACCCCAGAAAAGTACCTGCAAAAGGTTCCTGAAATGAAGATGTGCACAAACGTGGGTCTTTACAGTGAAGGCAAATTAAAATTAGTCTTCATATAAAAGTAAGTCTCATCTTAAATCAAAACAATTCTGTAAATTACAAATCATTTTCAAAAATCATTAAGAGAAAAAAATGTAAGTCAGACTATAATAAAAATGTTTGCACCTTTTCCTCTAGGTTTCTTTACCAAAACCACTGGTAAAAATATTACTTGGATTTTTCATTATGCGTCTCTGCTTTTACCACTGATGGACAGCCACACTGCATCTGGCTTAACAACTGAGATTATTAGTGCACAACCAAACCAAACAAGCAGATGGGATTAATGGAAGAAGGTGCTCTCTGCTGGTCATTATATAGAATGCACTGGAATGCTTATAGAAGGAAACCAGAGTGTATACAATCTCTTGAACATTGTGTGCATAAAGTAAAAGATTGTAGTCTTTCTGTTCTATCTAAAACCCACACAAACTTTAAGTTCTGTAAAGGTTTTTTCTGTAATGTTTTTGCCAACTTTGAAAAGAAAGGATAAAAAGAAGTCCCTTTGACAAATAAAATAGAAGGGCAAAAACAGGTGTAGGTGTTTCAAGGCTAATATCTTGTTTGTTTTGATGGAATAAAATGTTTAAAGAATTTCTGGCTCTCCACTTACCAGAATTTGACAACTAATTATAGTTTGAGTGTTTTGTGAACAAAAAAGCAATGGAACATACTAAGACTCTAGTATTCAGAGTGAAAAATGTCTGCTCTGAATGATATAAATGCAGTCAATAACATTTGCTAATAATCAGATGATTGTCTCCGTTCCCTTTTTTGTGCACCTCATTCATCAAGGAGAAATTGATTTTTGTGTTGTGTAATTTTGGTCTGCTCTGTTAATTCAACAGAGGTGGCAACAGGTTATTATTACTATTACTGTAATGGATTAAGTCACACAAAAAGCAGCGGAGTTAACTTGTCCATTATCCTTGGAAAAGAATAATGAAACCGTTCAATGTTCTTTGCAAAAAATAATGAAGGACATTTAAACAATGTAAGAAAAAAGTTTCTACCTAACTTCATACACATAATCATTTTCCCTGCAGCCACAGATGCAAAAGTCCAAACCTTCTCATCATCTCCGTATCCTGAGTAGCATGTGACTGTGAAGTACTGCAGGAGGTCAATGCTGTCGTCTTCATAATCGCCGCTTAGGCCTCCTTTCAGCAGAGCTTCTCTGTGATTGTCATACCTGGTCCAGGGGAGGAGAAAAGGTCATCAGTAAGGGTCAAAGAGCTGCTGCGGCGAATGCTCGTATAACCAGGGGAAGGCTGAATTCACCAGGCTCTCTCCTGCGGATCGCTGAGGACGTCATAAGCTGCTTGAATGAGCTTGAACTGCTCTGCGGCCTCCTCTGCGTTCTCCAAGTTTTTATCTGCAAATTTCAGAGGAAATACACACAAAGTGATACTTAGATAAAGTATTTCAACCCTCGCTGATTTCCATATGTGAACAACTAATTGCTCTCTGAACCCAGGATCTCCTTTTGCTACTTTTGGCAGAAATAACGGCCATCAAGCATTTATGGTTAGAATTTTCTTACATCGTTTACTACTTAGGCCCACTTTGTGTGGCTATTTCTTTTAATTCAGCCATACTGCTTGATTGGCCAGCTCAAGCTCATGCCTCATTTCAGTCCAATTTTTTTGTTTCCTTCTGAAAGAGTTATAGATGCACTGAAAGTTAGTTTTACAGGTTTGACTGGTTGAAAGAAAGTTTGCTGCTCTTTGAGTTTCTTCATTTATACATGTCTCTTAATTAGGTTCACAGAAGGTCCTAAACCAGAGAAAGTATTTTGTAAACTTTTTCAACACTCTCACTAACTTCTGTATCAGGTGACAAAGTCCTTCAAATTGACTTCAGATATAGTAGAGCATGAATGAATCACACTTTATATATGCATAAGAATCAGAAAGACATATTGCAATAATCAATGGGATTTAATATATTTTCCTGCTCTTTAATATACAGCTTAAAATAAGGCTTCTTGGTCAGGGTTGAGACATTTCAGTGTTAAATGAATCATATATTTTTTCTCTCTGCATTGTGGCATTTGGTCAATAGAAATATTGGCCTGAAACAAGAGTTGATTTAACTTCAGATGGAAGGGGAGAGGGGTCTTTTTATAGAGCTGATAATAAAAAATATTGATTTACAGATGTTGAAAAAAGGAGGCATTTATACAAGCCACCGGTTCTTCAGGATTGGACATATACATTCACAAACATCTGGATGGTGACATGCGTGCAGCTCACCTGGATGCCATTTTAAGGCTAATTTCCGATAAGCTTTCTTCAGGTCATCATCTCCCGCGTCTCTTTTTACTCCCAATATTTCATAGTGACACCTCATCTTCATGGAAACCGCCACACTTAAGGATAAGACACACTGCGAATACTCACGTTTCCCTGCACGCGACAAATGTTAGCATTTGTTTAACTGTTTCTCTTTTAAAACATCTTTAGTTTATCTTATCCAAGAACGGCAGTTCTCTTATATATAAGGATATTACATATTAAAATATGAAAACCGGTCCTTTTCACCAACATGCAGCCATTAAATAAGCTAAATTTGTGAATAATATTCCGGTACTGGGTAACAGCCGGTAGAATGCTCTTCTTCGTCCTCGTCCTCTTCTTCTTCGCGGGTTAAGGCAGAGTCGATACATCGATGTTGTGTTGCTGCCCCCTACTGTTCGTTATTGCCCAAGTCAACAATATTATCCCACTCATTTCATCCAACGCGTCTCATTGACGTGCTTCTTATCATTTATAAAAACTGAGATCATTTCTCAGTTAGAAGAGATGAGAAAGAGATTAAAACCAATATCAAATTTTAAAAGCTTAACCAGACAAAATAAATACAAATAAAGAAAATACATCAAGACCAAACAGATGAACTTCTGAACACAATAAAATAAATACTTTCTTCTTTTTCTAATACAACATATATTCTTGCAGTGCTCATCACAAAAAACTACTGACAAAGTTTTTCTTCTCACTAATTTTCCATCAGTTCCAGTACTATTTGTATCTGTCAGCTAAGAACAAAATCACTCATAAACCCGGGAAAAACAATTTTTATTCAATCAAGAACTTTTTTTTGGATCAGTAAAAAGACAGATATATAACAAAACCTCATAAAACAACTCATGAATTATATTTGCAGCTCAACTGGATTCTTAATGATATTCCCTCTGTAAGGCCCCAGTTTTATAACCATTTCCAATTGATCTATTGTTGAATTCACATTAGGGTATACTAAATTCAGAAGTCGCTCAATATTTGTTGTCAATATTCTATTCCACTGTTTGAAAAAAACTTCAATGTTTTTGAAAAGGTACGATAATCTACTTTCCAGAATGACAGCTGCAACTACTTTTGGGAGGCTTTATGTGCTGAAGGCCAGAACTGACCAGGATTTTCTTCTATTAATGAATGAATAGTGCAAGGAGTGTTGCATGCATGTTCAACACCTTTGTTGTTTGTTTTTGTTTTCTTTGAAAAGAAAATATCAATACCAATATAAGCAAACAAAATTAAAAAAATGTACAATGTACAAATGAAGCCACTTCTCTGCAGACTTTTAACTTGTGAAGAAACTAAAAACCCAACTCACAAGTATCTTAATGTTTCTTACCGCATAAGACCTTAAATTCAGGTTTCACTTGTTCATGTTAATCATGTACCATCAGATAATATTTGACTTGCACCCGAGAAGTTACGGAGGTAAAGTAGTTACATGGTGGCAATGATTGGTAGCTGCTATATTTAATAGATTTAGAGATAAGTCAGTTTCAGTAAAATTTAACTTTATTAACCCTACACCATTGTGTGCTGCAAATTCAAACATTATTTCTGAACCCCCAGTCTGTGATTTCCCTTCCAACATAAAGAATCACAATGCTAAATTAATATATTTATTTATTTAAAATTACAAAATCGTCGCTGTATAACATGATTTTTAGGAAATGAACCGAAACGGCTTCAAAAGACAGGCTACGCCTTTTTTTATTTAATTGGATGGACAGGGAGTCACTGGGGGATTCTCATTGGTTGATTATTAAAGCACTCGCCTCAGCTCGGGCGGTGATTGGCTGAACTGCCAGAAGGAAGTCAAGTGTCACAACATTTAGGCTTTTATGCTTTGAGTTCAGAAAAAAACGATAGGAATCAATCTAAAACACTTAAGATCATCATATATATTTTCATCTTTCTACATTGTGTTTTGGATGAACCACCCTGGCGCGGACTGGGTTATCCGGCCGTGAATCCACCCCCGATCCGTGCAGAGGATTAGATACCGCCGCGGACTTTACCACCACCGCACGGCAGAGAGAGGAAAGTGGGACTTTATTGTTAAAGGCTAGCCAGCTAGCTTTTCAAAGCGACTTGTTTGTGTGGGTATACCGCGGACCGCAGGCTATATGGCAACGAATTACGAGCCTATATATGGACTTTCAGAGGACGAGGTAAGCTTGAATTGTAATTAAGGTGTTATTTAAATGCAGAATGGAGTCGTTGGGTATTGTGAGGGGCTGGGAGCAGAGATGGCTAACGGTTAGCAGTGAGTGGAGCTAACAAGCCCCTACCAACGGCAACATTCCGCTGTTGTGTTCAGGTAGATGTCAATTCCTGCCACGGGTCTCTCTTTCGGTTTGTCCTCTTGCATTTATTTCATAATAGGGTAAAAACTAAAGCCCAACAAACCACTTTGATCTAAAGTTTCGAAATCAAAAGTCTCCACTTTGCGTCCTGCAATACACCAAATGTAGCTGTTTCTGGGAAATCAATTTATCTCTTTTTTTTTCTCTTCAGCTTGAAGGGTTAAACCTCCCAGTGAGACCTAAACACACCCTGCAAGATAGTAATCACAGTTGTTTGATGGTGAGCTGACCGCTGAGAGAGTGAAATAGAGGCACGCACGGTCATATGAGGTCACTCTGACTATGGACGCTTTGTTGGCTTCAACCAGGTGGTAATTATAGATGGAGTGCACATGCGATCTTGTATTGCTTCATCACAGTCACGAGTCTAGCAGAGGAGCATCCCTCCTCCACGTACCTGTGTGATATTTTCAATGCAGTCACAAGAAGCATGGAGTATGGAGATTTTTTTGTTGTTATTTTTGGCATTATTTTCAACTGTGACTCAGAATAAGTGATGATTAGTCAAAGTTGTCACGATTTTTTAATTGTTGGTGCATTTGGATGACACTGCGTCTGCATGTGTCAAATACAGATGGGTGATATTGATTTAAAAACGTTATCACAGTATTTTATGGCAGTTGTTGCTATGGTGACTGAAGTAGCAGTAAAAAAGTATTTCAAAATTGATTGCAGTCATAGTTTCTGGCTATGTTTATCAATGCCTTTATTGAGAGCACTGGTCCAAATGAATGTCTGGATAAATTGCTCAGCAGTGCATCCATCCCATTGTCTCATCATTTGTTCAGTGACAGGATCAATCGATTAATCAATCAAATTTTATTTGCATAGCACATTTCAGCAGCAAGGCATTTCAAAGTGCTGTACATCATAAACACAAAAACACAAAGTAATGCAACATTGAATAAACAATACATTGTTACATATTACGTTTCAAATACAATTCTAAACAGGTGTGTTTTTAGTTGATATTTAAAGGAAGTCAGGGTTTCTGCTGTTTTACAGTTTTCTGGAAGTTTGTTCCAAATTTTTGGTGCATAGATGCTGAAAGCTGCTTCTCCTCTCTTGGTTCTGGTTCTGGGGATGCAGAGCAGACCAGAACCAGAAGATCTGAGAGGTCAGGAAGGTTGATACAACAACAGCAGATCTTTAATGTATTGTGGTGCTAAACCGTTCAGTGATTTGTAAACTAACAACAGTATTTTAAAGTCTATTCTTTGAGCTACAGGGAGCCAGTGGAGGGACTTTAAAACTGGTGTTATGTCTCTATCTTCCTGGTTTAGTGAGAACGCGAGCAGCAGCGTTCTGGATAAAAGTTATTTCTTTTTTTTCTGGGTCATTTCAGGTAACAGTGACTGATCAATGTTCTTGACCAGAGCGATATTTGGTTGCCTGTTGTGTTAAGTGAAACTGCCGTGCTCGCTCGTTCTGCATGCAACACAATTTGGTCCGTTGGAAACACTTTTCACTTCCCTCAATGCACATACTGGGGGTGTATTTTTAGCAGCTGAGATGTTAAATGCTGCAAAGAGGTGTGGAGACTTTGTGATGGATAGAAAAAAAAAAAAAACGCGAAAAAGTGGGTTAATCATAGTCAATATTATTCCTGGAATATTCAGAAGTGCTATTGTAATTCCTAGAAACTGTGCAGGCGTACTCTTGACCTAAATTAATTGCCTCATCATTCCTGGTCTGACATCTAATCCTATAAGGCAGGGTTGCCCAAGTTCAAACCTCAAGAGCTGGATGCTTCTCTGCTCCAGCACACCTTAATCAAATGAACAGGCCATTACCATGCCTCTGTATAGCCGAATGACTGTGGTTAGCAAATTCTGCTATTTGATTCGGGGATTTTAGAGCAAGGATGCATCTAAAAGCTGCAGGATGGAAGCTGTCGATTACTGGTCCTGGGCACCCTGGATACAATGGATACTTCTGAGATGATTGTATTTTAAAATGGATATTGGTGCTACAAATGGTTGCAGGAGAAGTAATAAATAGTAGTGCACAGCTGAACATCAGAGGATAGTTGTAGATTCTCAAACTCTTGCACTTTTTCTGGCATTTGGTTATCAGAATGTTAAACCATACAGACATTATAACAATTGTCTTTCGTTTTGCAGGATTTGAAAACTGAAACTAACTCGACACATGATATTACCACAAAGTCCCAAATGTCTAATTTAAAATATCATCATTGCAGTATTAGTTCTTAAAAAAAAAAAAAAAAAAAAAAAAAGATATGACAAGAGGGTAAGATTTCAATATTTGTTTACTGTTATATTTCTAGGAATTATAAATTCACATTTTACATAATATAGTCAGTGTATTGGATGGACTCTCAGCATTGCATATGTTCTGAACTGGACAGGTGATAGTGGCCAAAATTGCAAAGGCTACAGAAAGATGGAAGCATCATTGACACATTTGTGAAAGAGTAGTGTGAAAGCCTGGTTTCACTGAAACTGATATTGTTATGCCAACATTCAAAAATAACACTGGAGTTGCATGATTTTCCTATATTGTGCAACAGAAGGCCATTTAGATCAGCATCTCTACAACTTCATACAAATACCACCTCTCTATATTAAGTTTTTCAAATACCACAGCACTGTCAAGGAACTTTTGCAGTCCCGTGACAGTGATTTATTTTTGTGTTACATGTTTGAAATAAACATATCAAGATTACATGTTGGGAAAATATAAACAGGAAGGTGCTTTCATGTCAAAATTTTAAACAAGAATAGACAGAAACTTCTTATCAATGCCAGTCTCAAAATTCAAAATGGCTGCCACAAATTTAAAACAGTGCTTTTGACTTTTCTTAAACCTGTTAATTAGAACATGTTTGAAGGAAAGTTCAAAGTACTTGATGTACTCAGCTTTGTGGGTGTTTGGCACACTTTATATCACCTCAGTCAAACATCACTAAGTTAATCCGAGTGGTGGGGTGCATGTTAAATAAAATCAATGTT